TAGTAATCTGTAGGCAATGAAATTAGTAGTTGGAAGGATTTTCACCTAAGCTACTAATGGAGTGATAAATTATTTTTGAAGTTGCACTTAGAGTGATAATAATCAAAATAAGTAAGCTAATTAAAGATTTAGTTTTAGCAATTCATTTTACATACTAATATTTAATAAAACATATATAATTAGCCTGACAGAGTAAAAAAAAAAAAAAAAAAAAAAAAAAAAATAGTATATATTTATGAAGAAATTAAATAAAATTTACAATAAATTACAGATTTTTCATAAAATAACTAATACTTAAGTACTCTAAGTCAAATTTTAAGAACAATATTTTACTTTTTTAATAAATTAATTATAATCTCTATTTATCAGAATCATTGTCAATAGTTTGTCACTATTAATTGATCCAAAAACCAATAAATTATTATGTTAAAAAAGTAAAGAAAAAAAATAATTAAAGAAAAGATACAATTAAAACCTACTAAAAAAATTCAAAAAATAAAAACAATCTTTTTTTAAAAAAGATCTACCTAATTAAAATAGTTTTTTTGCTTTACTTAAATTTTAAAAGAATTTTTTTTCATTACTTATAGTATTGAACAGTTCAATTTAACTGGTTCTTTATTTAAGTAAATATTAGATTATAATATCTCAAAAAAAATATTTAGATCTCAGTTTTTATTTATTAAAGTTTAATTATTATTCAAGAAGCTTAAATAAGAAAATAAGAGTTTATAATTTATATAATTCATTACTTAATCTTTTGATATTATAGATATTTTTATTAAGAAAATTGATTTGGGTTTTGAGAAATAAATATTTCTGAAATATTTTTTCTAATTACAAATAATATTATCAAAATATGTGAGTCGGATTAATAGAAGCTTGTTTATATTTCAAAAACTAATATATTTTATGTTAGTCAATTATCTTTAATAAAGATTAGTGCTAGATTTGTAAATCAATAGCATATTGATAGTGTTCCCAGATTATGATCACAAGATTTAAAGTTTAATATTATACAAAGGCCAAGTGAAATTTTAACTATCAGTGGTACAAAGATTTTATCTATTCTATTATAATAATCTGATACCCTAGCATAGCTATAACAAGAAATTGTCTATTTATCATGCCTATAATAAGATAGAAAATCAGTTCAGTATGCAAATTAAAAATTAAAACAGGTTCCAAATAAGGCAAAACTAAATAGTATAATATCCTTGATCAAGACTAATTTCCTACTTAAGCAGTAAAGTTGGGTAGTAAAGTGTTCTAACATTTAAAAAAACACAAGACAGGTTCTCTTAAGAGTCAAAGTTGGATTGTAAAAAGAAAAAGGTGATCAAAATATAAATAAGACAAGCCTTTATAAAAAATATATTCACTAATAGAAGTGATGAAGATTCTATATAAGAAACTCCTTAACACCAGTGGTGCTAAACATTTTAGACAAGTTCTTGACACATTAGTCTCCCTACATAGGAATAACAATAAGTCATCTGATAAATTACAGTTCTAGAAAGTGTCACTTCAGTTAAATAAGATTTAAAAATATTGATAGTACTCCATTAAATTGGTAGATTAAAACATATCCAGATTCTTTAACTTGAGTAAGAATTAAGAAAAAATCCTATACTAGATGGTTATATAGTTTTTCTATTCTGGTTGGATGTGATATAAATAAATATCTCTTGTATTATTTATTGATTTATAAATTCTTAGACAATTCAAATAATTACTTATCCCAATTGTTTTTAGGATCTATTTTAATAATTAATAAAGGTCCTGATGCTGGAATAAGAATAAACTAGTATATTTAAAATAATAATAATAATAATAATAATAATAATAATAATAATAATTTGTTCTATTCAAAATTCAAGAGATAGATAAAATTCTTTAAAAAACTATGAAGATAAAAGCCTTAAGAGTATCAAATAGTTTAAAAAGAAGAAAACAAGTTTTTTAATTATAATAAACCTTTAAAAATATCTTGATTTAAAAGTTAAAAAGGTTTTCAGTATTTTATAATCAATTCTTTTTTCTTTGAAAACCTTCTTACTATTAGTATTAAAGATTTTACTTAACTTTTTTTAATTATTAAAAGTCAAGTTTTTGAGTGAGAAGATTTGTAAATAAAAGGAAGAATAGAAACAACTTTTAAAGTTATATTTCAAATTATTTTAGAAGTTTCTATACTTCTATATTGATAAAGTCTTAACACTTTCTTTAAATCAATTTGAAAAAACTTTAAAAGTCACTATTACTTCCTTTCCTTCTTATTAATACTCCTCTTCAAACAAAAACTTGACTGTTAGTAATCAGAAAATCAAGCAACACCTTTCTTACCAAGGGCAAGAAAGTTCTAAAAAAAAGAAGAACTAATGTGCCATCATCTCACACTGTAGAGAAACAATATAAAAGTATGTTGATAATGAGAAACAACTTTTCCACTCTTTTGTTATTTGTTGACTTCTTATAGTACTCTTTCTCAGTTTTTTCTGGAGAATTTTGCTACCTCAGTTTGATTCTGAATATTGAATAGCACAAAGTTTCTTACACTATGATTGGACAGATATAGTTCACATTAGTAAAAGAAGTAAACAAGCTTCTATTGGTCATCTTATGTATCTGAATATATTTTCTCAACTTCATAAGAATCTGGGGTTCACTATAAGTCACTTGCTTTGGATATGGATGAATATAGGATAAGCAAATCTCCTATATCAGTGATATTTTGGAAAGAGAACTATTGGAATAGGATTCATCAGATAACCAACAAAGATCTCTTCTTCCTTCTCCTCTTCAACAGATATATCAACACTTAGAATAGTATTTTTTGAAGGGTTTTAATACTCATACTTTTTTATTATATATCGACATACCTTTCAAACATAACTACCTTTTTTAAAATTTTTCTTTAGGATAATGTGTCTTGCCTTAGTACGTATATTAGAAAGATTCTAAGAGGATTGACAAATCTTCTTTTCCAGTGCACAAATTAGATTGATTCAAATTATTCTTCCTAATAATAAGCTATCTAGTGGATTGGAGTGGCTAGAATTTTACAATATAGAGATATTGAAACTAACTGAGAAATAAACAATATGCCCTTAACCAATGAAGCCTCAAAAAGTAACCAGCTTACGGAATCAAAGTGATAATAGTAGTATAAAATTTTAACTTTCATAAACAATTCTAGAAATATTTTATTAGTAATTATTCTTGTATTTGCATTTTGCCCTAACTTAAAACTTTAATAAAACAAGGCTGAGTCACTATTTCAAAAAAATAAATAAATAAATAAATATTTATAATATTATATAACTTTTTTATAATAGTTAATTGATAATTATATATTATTAATTAAAAAAATATATTATTTTAAAAAAATATAAAAAGTTATTAAATTAATTTGAATTAAGTAAAAAAATAAATTATATATATTAATTCAACTTAAAAAAATAAAATCATAACTTTTTTATATTATATATTAGTTATTATAATAGGTAATTAGATTTGTAAAATTTGATAATATTAGTATTATAAACTATTGTATATAATATCTTAAATAATTTACTAGAAAGGAGTAATATAAATAGTAGAATATTAATACTATATAACATATTTAACAATTATCTCTCATTTATTTATTTATTTGTTTTTTTTTTTTGCCTTTCTTTATATTAATTTTTTTTTCTATTTATTCTTATTCATTTATTTTTTTCTCTTTTGTTTACTTATTTTATTTTCTTTTGTTTATTTGTTTCTTTTTTTTTTTGTTCATTTATTTTTTTTACTTGATTTTTTCTTTTCTTATATTCATTTGTTTTTTTTTCTTGTCTACTCATTTTTTTTTTACTTATACATTTTTATTTTTTTGTTCATTTGTTTTCTTTTCTTATTCATTCAATATATTTTTTCTTGTTTGATTTTTTTTTTTATTTATTTGTTCTTTTCTCTTACTTGTTTGTTTGTTTCTTTTTTGCTTGTTTGTTTCTTTCTCTCTTGCTTACTTGTTTCTTTTATGTTTGTTATTTCTTTTTTTCTTATCTAATTAATCTATTCTTTCTTGTTTGATCATTTTTTTCTTTTTTATTTATTTATTTGTTTTTTTTACTTATTTGTTTCTTTTTCTTTTGCCTACTTATTTTTTCTCTCTTGTTTACTTATTTTTTTTTCTCTTATCCATTTGTTTTTTTTTTCTCTTGCCATTTCTTTTCTTTTTTATTTACTCAATTCATTGATTTTTTTTTTCTCTTATTCATTTGTTACTTTTTTTATTGTTCATTTGTTCCTTTCTCTTTTGCTTGCTTATTTTTTTTTCTCTTGTTATTTCTTTTTTTCTTGTTCATTTAATCCATTCTCTTTTTCTCTCTTAAAAAATGTGAAAAATTATGTAATGCATATTATTTAAACTAAGAGTCCATAAAATTACAATATATTTAATATACCTGGATAGTAAACATTTATTGAGTAAATATATAGTACAATAAAAAATTTTAATTTTTCCAAAAATATTCTTTTTTTAAAAATATTTTTGGTATCATACGACCCCCGGAAAAAAGATATTTCGTGCAAAATAGGAAAGATGTGACCTTCATGTAACACGCAAAATCTCTTTCCTATTAAAAATGCGTTCCTAATCCATCCTCTTACAATGCATTGTTGACGAAAAAAAAACTAACATTGAATAATTCGATCCGGAAACGCGATGTTTAATTATGGATAACGTGTTGACGTATGTAAACATTTTTGGCACGGTGTAACCAAAAAGTGACGCCAGTATAAATTATACAAAAATCGGGCGTTAGTTTCTGAGGTGATTGTTCTGTATGTCAAACATATCGCTATTATTTTAGGAACAACCATGTTATGATTGGGACTCTAGCTATGCGCCAAAAAAATTTCCAGGGTCATATGACACCTATAAATTCGAATATAAAACCAGTACTTTCTCGAGAGAATTTACAGACTCAGTTTATACAAATTTTTTGCTTAATATGTCCGGTAAAGAAAAAGAAGACATAGCAAACGATTCAAAACTAACCACTCAGAATGAGGATAAATTCTTACAATTTCAAATAGTTACTCAGGGTGGTGAAAGTGGTGTCATTAAAGGTTTTTTTTTTTCACCTATATCCTTCGTAAAATTCTCATTGCATGATGTTAAAGTATTTATTTTCATCCGCCCTCTTTAGAGTCAGAATCAGAAATATTAAAAACGGAAAATAACTCTGAATTCGATAGATTTCAAAATGATTTGGAATTGGCAAATTTCGAAACTCATAGTGTGGAGGAGAACCTTGAGCCATGGAAACCTCGAGGCCCTTGGTATCATGATATCACGAAGAGAAGATGGTTCGCTTTTGCCGTCATTGGAATCTTATTAGTAATTGTTCTTATTGTTGGTAATGTGTGATATGCATGTAAAATTGTTTAAAAATATTACGGCAACATCAGCCAAGTATTCACCCTATTATTTTTCATTCTATATTTTAGTTCCTGTGACCGTCGCGCATGCAATTAAAGACAAATAACCTATTGTGACTATTTGGTTTATTTTATTTAATATTTTTTTTTTCTTGTATATTTTACGAGTATGTATATACCATAAACTTTGTGATTTTTCGGTTTTTGAGTGAGTTAATTATTCTACATCTTTTCCTGGCTCGAAAAAAAAAAATCATCATATGCCGAAAATTTTTGTGATCGATTTTTTTTTTTTTTTTTTAGGCTGGGTCGATCTAATGGGTGCAAAAGAATTATCGGAATATCGTTAAATAAAAAAAAAGGATCGTAGCGATCGTAATAATCACAAAAGTGATGCATTTTTTTTTCTTGTTTTAAGCTTTATCACTGCGCATTAATTTTAAAAATTTACCATGTATATTAATATACAATTATAAATTCATCATCTATTATCCTTTTTTGCTTTAATTATATCATTAATTTGTTCTTGTATACTACTATCATATTATCAATTAGCTTATTACAATGTCAATATTAATGCTATTCCATATCATTTTTAAATTTTTTCTTAAATCATTTTTATCAAAAACAGAATTAGAAAGTTGTATCAAATAATTGGTAATTGAAAATTATTATTTTTTTAATAGTTATTTATTTATTTATTTAAATCACAATTGTATTAAATGCAAGCTCTTTATTAAGAAGTAACTTAAAGTCTGATAGATAACAATTAAATTCTTTAAAGTATTATATCAATTTTTTTTTATAACCCTCTGTTAAGCTAAGTATGTGTGCTTTATTAAACATATATATACTTTATATTAAAAATAAATTGCTAAAGCTAAGTTTTGATCTAACCCACTTGTCTCTATTTTAAGAATTATTAAAACTCTAAATGCAACTTTGGAAGTAATTTATTACTCTGTTAGCAGTTTAGATAAAGACTCTTTCAATTGTTAATTTCATTGTCTGCAGATCATTATTGCAAATTACTCTGCGAGGTTTTGACAGAACTTTAAACCTAACCATTTTATTCCATACTTTACTCTTTTTTTTAGAATTTTTCAGAAACTTTTGCCTTCAAAGTTTCCTTTTTTAGATAGTGATTTTCTTCTCTTTGGGAGTGTAATTGTTTGATCTAAAATAATATGGAGATCTTTTTGTCTTGTTCTCTTTATTAATTCCTGTATTTGTTCTCATTCAATTATTTTTTTGCATATTTTGTTTCAAACTTTTTTTCAAACTTAGTTGTAAACTCTTTTTTGTATCTTTATTATCCACTTTCTTGCTATTTTTTCTATACATTTACCTTGACATTTTAGATCTATTATTTCTAGAATAAAATCATTTCTTATAAGGTCAATATAAAAATTTAAGATATTTTAAAAGTTTGTTTCACTACTCTAGAGATTCACTTATCAAACTCTTTATTTCTTTCAATTGTTAATGGTCAGTCTAAAATTCTTCTCTTTAAACTCTTTTTTTTTTTCTTATAACTATTTTGAAATTTCTAATAATTTCATCTATTTCTTTATTCTATGCCTCTTATAACTGATCCTTATAGATTAAACATTTTAACAAGTGTTCTATAGTTTTATCTTGTTGACTATATACAATATATTTTACTTACTTATATAAATTTGATATTTTTACAGCTAACTTACAGCTTGTTATTAATCAATTTAATAAGAAAGCTTTTTTGTTAAGATTGTTTAAAGGATGTATTTTATATATATCTATCTTTAATTCTTTCTTATACTAGATTATATATATTGTGATAAAAATAGCATCTACTACCATTGGATAGTTATTTTTAGTTATGATCTTCATTCTATTTCTATTTTTATCTA